TGCATATACAAAGTAGTAATTATTCATCTTTTTATGGGTGATTCTACAACTGAAGTTTGGTGCACCAAATACAGTATATTCACCCTGCACAATGGTTGCCAGCATCCTTTGACATAACTGCTGCTTCATTCCCATAACAACTGGTCCATTTTCCAAAAGTCTCTTTGTTTTTCTTCAGTCAGAATCAGTTTACTGCCCTGTTTAATCCATAATCTTGTTGTTATTTGTCACGGTAAATGCAGGGAGTTCCAGTGTGTCCCGTTCACACGGCTTCAGTCGGGCCCGCCGTCAGGCACCATACCACAGTGGATATAAACATAAAGTGGGAATGCAAACCCCCCGCCCCCCCTTACTATTTCCGCTTTTGCTTAGACTCACTCTCGAAATCTCACTTCCACAAGTGATTGCATTTCAAAAGGCCTCTCAGACACTACTCTCGTGAACTCCTCGGATCAGAGGCATGACAGTGCCATTTAAATAAGCACAGACTTGATGGACTGAGTATGCAATTAGGCCATTTAGTGATTTTAATGACATAACAGTGATGTAGGAGAAGGACATAGACAAGGCAGGAAGTATAAAGCGTACAGTATATGTATCAAAGCAGCTAATCAGCATTGTCATGACATTATCCTGCAGTTGTAGCATTTACTCAGGTGATTGGCTAAAAATACCAATGAAACGATGACACGTTTTATTCCCATGCTGTTACCTTCAAATTGTTGAAAGCATATATTTCACATACACCCAACAACATTACAATCAGATGTATAATGCTGATGTGTGGAAATACTTCACCGGCAGGTTCATAATTTAAAGACAGATAGGAAGCCAGAGAGAAAAAAAATTTCTGTCTGTAAGTTATGAAACTCCCTCTTTTGAAACTTTTTTATTTTCTTCTGCAGGGATGAGACTCATGCTGAATGAGCACCATGGTCTGAAAAGAAAAGAAATATTGTCCACATGGTATATATATACATATATAGATATATTCATTTGTATTGCAGAACACATATTTTCCAAGCAGATTATGAATCTGATTAAATGCATTTCTCCCCATTCCCCCATGAAATATGAATTTATATCCAGAATGGATTGAAATTTTACACTCAGAAATCCAGAGTTCATGGATCCATGACTGACTGATTATCTTTGCAAAAACTAATCTGGAAATACCTTCACAGACCTCCTGTGGAGAAAACTGCCATGAACGCAGTTCCTGTCCAAAACACATACGCACATGATCTAATACAGCCAGGAATCAAAGACTCCCATGATGCTGCAGGAAATGTATGAGCCAAATACTAAGATTTTCCATGGAAGCATCTTCAGAGTTATCTCCACCAGAGCCACATATAAACGTGCCAACATGTGATTTTCTTTAATCATATGGAATGAGTTTCAGTTGCCTACAACCATGTGGTCAAGGTTATTAATCCCATCATCTTCCATGAAGAAGCTGGAGGACGATGTTCCTTTCATCTTACAGGACAAGCAGACACAAAAGTTCTTTCTATATTTACAATATTTTAAATATAACTATTTTGAAGTGTTAGTAGATTTTATATCTTACAATTCGTTTTTTTCCCAGAATTGCAACAACAACAACAAAAAGCCCATATTGTATGATTTATTTTTATTTTTATTTTTTTCTGTGACGAAAACAGGCTTCCATAGTATACTGATCAAATGTATAGCTTGAATGTACTGTAAGTTGCTTTGGATAAAATTGTCTGCCAAATTAATAAATATGAAATATTTACAATTAAATATTTATTGAAATGCAAATTTAAATGTTAACTGTTTGACATACATTTTGGGCATAGTGAGGACATATTGCATTGCTTACTTTGCACGTGTACGCAAATCCATATGTGAAGCATATTTTCCAAGGTGTTATGACATTCAGCAGGAGCTGAGAAAACCCTTAACACGTTTCTCCCGCAAATGTATGTGACGTACTGAAGCATTTGTTCACCTGTTTTAAGTTGCAAGTCAGTGTTGGAGGTCCCAACTCTTTGTTTTCCACAGTTTGTCCATGAAAATGTATTTTTGGAGCCTCTACACCACGATAGTTGGTTGCAATCTGGATTATTAGTTATTTCAGCCAAATCAGATTTGATCAAACACCTCATCGCACCATTAGGTAGATCTTTAAAAGTTTTTCATGCATTATTCTTTCATTATTCTGGAAATTTTCTTGTTCTGTTTTAATGGAAAAGTGTTGAATGGTAGATGTTAGGGTGTTTATATGCACATTTAGAGTAGTATCTGTACAGAATCATATGTTTTCTTAAAGTAATATCTGTAGACCACCTGTTTTAAAAAGCTTGTTCTTTATCAAAGTCTTGCAACAAAGTACTTAAAGGCTCTCTGAAGATTTATAATCCATTTGCTCTGGTTTAAATTACCTCTTCTGTAGCCATTGTGGCAAAACTTCAAACACTGGATTCAGTAGCACTTTTTTGAGCACCTGGTTGCTGCATTTATCAGCTATGATAAAACAATTGAATGACCTCCATTACTTGTTCTGTTGACCTTCTGTGTTTGCTTTATTTAGAGCGCAATACAGATGCACCTTCATTTCATTGTCAGCGAGTTCCTATCACTGACTAAAGAGCTAATGAATTGGATGCACGTTGGGACAATGTTTGGACAAGGTAATTCACTCGTCCTAATATACGACCCCTTCTTAGACCTCTTGATCTGTCTGTACTCATTGCTTGATTTACCAAAATGGTGATATCTACATAATATTATAAATCTGTGGCTTCTTAAGTGGTTTGGACTGAGTACAGAACACATCTAAAACTTAAGTATTTCACCGGTGACAGTCTGCATTTGTGTAGCATTATGTCTGTCAGCCATTGAAACATGTGTCTGGTCCATACTCTCACCTTACAAAGGCTGCAGTGTGGAGGAGGAAACTGAATGAGAACTCATTACCTCCATAACTGTGCTGCTCTCTGTGAATGAGACTCAGCTTCACAAGATGAATGTAGGAAATGGGATGGTTGGCCTGGTGGAGTAAAAGATATGGCAATGGTGGTGTTAGCAGCTGTGTGTGAAGATGAGTGTGATAAAGCTTTATTTTCAATAGCTGCAATGGCAGTGCTCTCGAGTAAATGATGTATGAAGCTTTGCAGGAGACTTCAAGATTTCATCAAAACAGGAAGTGGAAAAATATGTTGTAGAATGCTGATGAGATGCTTAAAGGGATAGTTCACTCAATTTTTTTTCCCGTAGTATTTTTTTTCCATACTATGAAAGTCAGTGGATACCGTCAACTGTTTGGTTACCTACATTCTTCAAAATATCTTATTTTGTGTCCAACAGCTGAAATAAACTCATACAGGTTTGGAACAACATGATGACAATTTTTTTCATTTTTGGGTGAACCATCCCTTTAAGTCTAAAGATGAGCATAATTCTTTGTAATAGTAATAAAAAACGAAAAATGTTCAATTATTGATGTCCTATGTTTATATGTGTGGTATATATCTTCCTCCTTCTGAAACAATAGTTTTGAGGTTGATGGGTCTCTAGCCAGTGTGAACCAATGCTAACATTCATGTACATACTGATAATGGTTTCAAGAACTTGGGAACAATATCTTTTTTTTTTTAAACCTCGTATTCAAATATGGCAAGTATTCAGTTAGATATTTGCAATTTTGAATCTAGTTCTGGGTGAAATTATTTATGCACTTATCCATGTAATTACATGATAAGAACCCTGCAGCTAAAACTATCTGATTGTGTATTGTGTATAAAAGATTCCAGCAATCTGTAAATGAAACCCACATGAAATACCAGAACAAGAACTACCACTAATCAGTCCTTTGAAGTGCTACTCAATTCCTTGTTATTCTGTAGGAAACTCCCACACTTACAAGTTGTTGTTTTAGTGGCATTCTGAGGTTAGAGTAAAATTAAAAAATATATATACATGCAATAAACACTTAAAAATAAGTTTTCAATTACTGCAACCGCATTGTTTCTTAACAGCTCAGTTGTTTCGCATCACAATTTATCAGTTAAGAAAGATCTTAAGCACAGATAAATGAATCAGCTATGTAAATAAGTCTCAAAAACACGTTTTTGCTCCATTAAAGGTGAGTAATGTCATGGCCATGCTTTTACATGTGTATTAAAAACTGTAGTGAGGATGGAGAAAAATGAGTGGGTCGAGCTGATACATTTTATTAGTGAATAAGACGAATAAAGCCGGGAGCTATTCTCTTTCATTTTAAACTCAGCCAAATGCCAAAGCCCAGAGCAATTAATAGAAACCATAAAACATGTACCATTAAAATGGACTCAAAGTTCTGGCAACGTTTCAGCTCCATCTTTATTAATTTATTTTTAATTCAGCAAATGCTTTGCAGCTGTTTTACATTCTTTATGCCCAGGGGACAAAAACTCACAGAAAGTAATAGACCTGAAAAAGAAGGAAAGTCTGATCTACAAATGCATTTGCATGTCTTGTTGAATGTTTATTTTATTCTACTTTATTGTATTGTGTTTTATATTGTTTATTTCTTGGTATGTATTGTTGGTATTGTTTTTAGTACCATTACTGACTTTTTTTTTTTCAAGCTATAGCAATATTGTCTATTTCAAACAGTAAAATGATTTGGAATTATTCGAGTATGTAATAAAAGTTCATAAATAAAAAATAGATATAATTAAATAAAAATAGCTGTAATAGAATTAAATAGCTATAATACATATGTAAGACATTAAACGTTTTGTATCTTTAACCAAAAAAAAAAAAGTTTAATCATAAAACTGTTTTACTTTTTCACAAATTTTTTCACTTGTGTAAAATCATTAAGCCAAAACAGAACTCGATTAATCGAATAAAAAGTGTCTGGCTATCATTTCATATGTAAAACCCTGGACTGCATTCTAAACGTTCAAAGAAATATAAAGATTCATAACCTTCAAGTGATCCACACAATTTCACCCACAGATTGATGTAAATACGCACAAATCACGTGCTGGTGAGAGCAACCATTGAGCTCTTTACACGTCATCATCAGGAGCCGGTAGTGAAACGCGCGGTGTTTTGAATACAACGAAAAACAAACAGTCGCGAGCTTTATTTTCGATCTTCAAAACGGTAAACTAACGCCTTCAAGCAATCAAAAACATGTCAAAGAAAGCACCGAGAGCAGCCCTGAAGCTCCATATGAAGAAGAACACTAATATACGGATAGGAAAAAACGCAGACTTGATGGTGAGTGAATGAAAGTGAACCACAACAGTTTCCACCACAAACGCGCTTGTTGTGATATTCACATGGAATTATGCTTTCAGATTTAATTTAACTGTCAAATGACATGTGTACTGTTATGCAGTTGTTGTGTAGTCAGAATATTATCTGTTTCATCTCTAGTCTACGTCATATTTACTGGGGTAGAGGTGCATATTCGTTGTTGTCTAGGTCTGTGTCTCAAAATCTAGTACGCTTCCTACATAGACAACATTATGGACAGCTTAGAAAGCTCGGAAGCGCCTATATGAAGCACAGTAGTGATGTCTAGGCAGGGAGATCAGTAGGTTTTAAGTAGGGCTGCACGATAAATCGCATGCGATATTTAATGCGCATCTTGTCAGAAAGCCGGTTCCGTAATCAGCGGTAAATCTCCATCACCTGCGGGCTTTTCACTGACGAGCTGCGCAAAAAATCGCGCGAATATGAACGTGGTTTTGCGCAGCTCGTCAGTGAACAACGGCTCTGTGTAGTTAATGCTGCTCAATGTGAAAGCACGCACGTGATGGAGATTTACCGCTGATTACAGAACCGGCTTTACTGATAAGATGGGCATATCTTTAGGGCTGTCCTCAGTACTTGAAGCCAATATGTAACGCATTATAAAAGTGTTTTTAGTGCATTAATGCCATATTTTAACCACAGTTATAATACTTCTATCTATTCGTTGTTACACCTTTAGAAAGCAAAACATTAAAAAAAATGTGACAAACAACCAATTTCACATGTAACAAGGAATCTGCAAATATTATAATGCATTTTAACTTTGGTTACAATTATTTATGAAAAGATATAGTGATTTGGAACAAAAGCTTTATATATAGCTTACAGCATGGGTGAGCCAGTTTGTTTAGAGAAAGGAATACAGCTAATGCAAATGAGCTGAATTAGTGGGACATTACTGGCTCCTTTCATGTCTTTTTGCAGACCTCATTATGAGGAAGCTCATGATGTTGTTTCCCAAAGTAGTTTTCATATGGAGGTGAATTGAAATGTTTAATGTTAGAGTCTGATGCATTTTATTGCTGCTTTGCATTATTATTCAAAACTCAAGAAGCACTGCTGCCACTATTCTTTTTAAGAATATATAATAAGCTATGTAAATTATTTATTTATAACTTGTTTCTAAAGCTTTTTGTCTGTTTTTGACTCTGCCGGTAATGATTTGTTTGCTATCAGTGTAAAGTTCTTGCCCACCTTGTCACTTAGGAAAATACCTAATTCTAGGATCAGGAAACCACAAATGGGAGGACAAGCCATTAAAACCAAACCACCATGTTGACTTTTTTGAAGTCGATTTTATTTTAAGGAACTTGGCCCTTTAACTTAGCAGATGTGTTTACATTTGTTTAACGTTTTATATCCAAGCAGCACTGATGAAACCAATTTGTGTTATGCATTATCACGTGAAGTGGCCACTGTAAATGTTGTTACATGCAATAGATTATGTGGCAGTGTCGCATGCTGCCTTTTGATTGCTTGATACTGACCACTTCATAGCTTAAGTTGATTAAAAGGAACTTCAGTTTTCAAAAGGGGAGTCCAGTGGTTTAGGTTGATTGAGGTTTGCCTTTCGGCAAGTTTGCCTAGTGTTTTCCATGGGAATTAGGGAATTGCTTATCCGTTGTTTTTAAGTTGAGGGGCACTGTACATAGTTGATTATGCTCTGCGTGTGTGTAGGATGTCCATGTGCTAACAGGGTCCTAATTAAAGGTCCATTGCAGCTGGTCTTTCTTTATAGAGACTGGAGGTGGGGATGTAAAAGCCGCCTGAAAGGTCCTCTGCTTTACAGGGGTCTAATCCAGCCATTAAATTAAAAGGAAAATGCAGGAAAAAATGAAAGAAAGGCTCTTTTTTTACCGTCCTATGAATATGTACCGGTTTGATCTGGTTTCCTGTGCTTTTAATGACAAAATTCCTAATAAGGCCCTTCACACTTTGCCTTATGCATCACATCATGAATGAGTCTGCTTTTAATTGGTCAAGCTATGATTGTGTTTTGGCTTTCAGATGAAACCATTAGTTCTCTGATTGTAGACCTACAATTTACAAGTATTTCCAGCACTGATATTAAATCTATAGGTTCAGAGAAAAAAATGTTTAAAATGTGATTGCATTCTGAATTGGATGTGATTTTAGATTTTTTTTGCTTCTCTCAAAAGCAAACATGCAGCATGACCAGTGTAGTCTGATTCACAAACAAGTGACTCTTATGAACCTGTTCTTTGACTACGAATCATTCAATGTATGAACTTTGAATCCTTCTAAATCTTTAGAAAATTCTAATTATTTAAAGGCTTCTGAAGCCATTTGATAGCTTTGTGTGTTCATGAGGAACAAACTGAAATTTAAGTCGTATACAAAAACAATTCTTTTGGAAACAAAATTATGTGTACTGCAGGTATTTATATCATTTACAGAGGCAATTTTAGGCCTCAGTTAGCATAAATAGACTGGTAGAGTAGATGTCAAAATGGCAAATGAGAAAGAGGTGTTTGCACCCAGAACACTGATTTTAAACTGTAAAACAGTAACAGGAATACATGTTCAATTTCCTCAGAAACTTTTGATCCAGATTTCTCCTTGACGGCTTTTCCTTACTTATTCTGCAGTCTATCAAAAGTGCTTAGACTCATGTTTCCTGTCTCCTGCATCAGATCTTACTCTATAAGCACCGAAACAGCTTTGTGAGATTATCCCAGTCATACTATTTCATCTCTCCTGTTTATAAGTGCGTCCCGCCGGGTGGAGCAGTGGCTTAAGACAGCGCTTTGTTCCCCCTGCTGAACTGAGATAGCTTATGCTACATTTGATGGTTGATTGAACACGAAAATAATCAGCTGCATCCTGCAAGGAAGCTGTGAAAAAGTGTCTGTTTTCTTTTTCCAGATCTCCCCCCAAATCGTAGACCCACTCTTGCCCCCCGACAGCAACGTTTCCTCCCTGGTGTTAAGAATCTCTGGGAAAGTGTGGAAAATCAATGGGCTGTTTTGGTGGCCCAGGCCAACAGCTCCTGGCATTTTCACACCAGGTCATTAGAAGTTGTGCCTGGCTTGTAATTGGGTGATGGGTTCCTGAACTGAAATTGGTGGTTGCAAGTTGTTCAAGAGTGTTTATTTAAGAGCTGATAAATGCAAATCCTGGTCTGTTGAGTCTAGTGAAGTGAATGTTTTGAATTTGTGCTTTAAGATATTTGAAAATCTTACATTGTTAGAATTGATTTATGTTGCCAGGAAGTGTTGGTCTTCTTTCTTGCATTCATTTGCATACTGAATTGTGTTTGAAATTTCTGTTGCATATTTAACAATTATCTATTAGGGATGCACAATCAGTGCCTATTGTTATTGGCCGATATTATTATTATTTTTAATTTGTCAATATTGGATTAAATTGCGCATGCCCATTCTTTATATTTTCATATTACATTGACATCTAATGCTCACTTTATAATTTTCAGCAAATCTCAAAATGAAGATCAATTTTTTATTCAGTACTTTATAATGATGTGACGCCCAAAATTAAATGAACTCCTGTAAAATATAAAGTGATTGATTTTTTATATTATTTAGACAAAATAGTATATAATTTTTAAATGGATCTTTTTAATGTAGATCAGTTTAATGGTTAAATTCCATGGAAATTGAACATAAGGATTTGCTAGTGCTATGCTCTACTGTTTGAGCTACAGGAACGCCTAAATGCCAAAAAAACATCATTGCCTGTTGGTTTTGTTGTATCAGTGTTGTTAACCCATCTGGTGTTTAATTGTGCAGTGTGAACTAGCCTTGAAACTTACACCTAAGCTCTTTTTTTTCTGCAGTCTAAGCAAAGGGATTTCCTTCAGGTAATGTAAATCCAGATTCATCTTGTTACACTTTCTGTTACAAGACCAAGATGACATTTGGACAGATCATAGGACAATGTAAGTCTGCACTGCACACTCTGAGGCAGAAGGCGCAGACTCTCTTTAATGTTCCTAATGCTGCTGAGACTGGTTTTCTCTGCACTCCTCTGCCCTCAGTGAGGATTCAATGTGCTTTCCGTGTCTGAGCGAGGCAGCAGAGGTAATCAGTTCAGCTCGGTCATTATGTTTTGGCAAAGCCTCTGGCACAGGGGAAGCCTGCATGGGCTTCTCAGTTTCCTTCTCGAAAACACTCTCAAGACCAGCTGTTGGAGAAGTATTCAGACGCCCCAGAGATGACCCACAATTATGAAAATGAGGTATTAATAGATTTAAATTACATCCAAATGGCGCTGTGTAGATGCACAAGGAGCGCTGCCTTTTTTCAGCTGAAATCATTAGGAAAACTAGCTGGATGTGGTTCAGCGGATGTGGTCACTTGTTTCATTTGTTTATGTGTGTTTTTGAGACAGAGAGAAAGTGCAGGTGATAATATACAGAACTTTCTTCATATAACCGCTTGTAGCAGTACACAGTGCAGACCACAGTGGAGGTGAAAAAGTGCAGAAAATACATTTCACATTTTGTTATTAGGAATATTAAGTAGTGATCGACCGATATTGATATTTTATAACCGATACCAATTATTTGCATGTTTATGTGCCCGATAACCGATATGCAGAACCGATATTTATTTACTGTTATAAAGTAAATAAAGGACTGAGTGAAGTAAGTCCATGCTCGGTGATCCTGCGCGCAATTCTCAAAAAATCCACAAGATGGCGGCGTTTATCGGTGAATCCGATATTACAAAACCGATATCCGATTATTGTAAAATGCTTAAATATCGGGAAAAATATCGGTAAATCGATATATCGTCTATCTCTAATATTAAGTATATGTTTACAACACAAATCTCCTTCCTCAGTCAATTTATGAAAACTAAGCTGTAAAAACAGGCCAGAAATAATCAATATGAAGTATTTGATGTTATAGCCTAAGTCTTAAAGGTATATTTTGTGTGTGTGTGTGTGTATATATATATATATATATATATATGTGTGTGTGTATGTATATGTATTTGCAGGTATTGATTATTTATTGTTCACAGTGTGGTTAATTGTTTTAATATTTAGATTGCTTTATACATTTTAAAGGGTTAGCAATAGATTAATAGATTGTGATATTTAAATTGATATTTATATAGAAACTGTTCTTTTTTTTTTAATAAAGTAGTAAAGATTTATAATATCAGCAATTTATCGGTTATCAGTCATAAAATGAAAATAGTTACTGGCTTATTAGAAGAGGTTATGTTGTCATGAAAAAAATTAAATGCTACAGTTTAGAACAATATGAGCCCTTGAAGCTGTGAAAAATGTACAGTTAAAGGGTTAGTTCACCTCAAAATGAAAATTAGGCTGCGTTTTACTCACCCCCCCATGCATCCTAGGTGTATATGACTTTCTTCTTTCAGACGAATCCAGTCGGAGTTATATTAAAAATTGTCTTTGATCTTTCAAGCTCTATCTAATTTTCATTTTGGGGCGAACTAACCTTTTAAACTGAATGTTACAGAGACTTGGGAGAAAGTAATGGCAAATTGTGATGCACCCTCAAAATCATCTCATTATGCATATAATGATTATTCATACACATGGCTATGGCTGTGGTTTAGATTAGAATCACCTAAATTGTTTAAATGATGATGGAAATACCCTCGGAAAATAGAATGACTTCATATTTGCATTATGAACTGCACCAGGAAGACACACCTGTACATTGTGCTTTCTCTGTGTTTATTTCTTTGGTTCATATTGTTGTAGAGTATGTTGTATACAACATTGTCATGCTAGCACATGTTCCAGCACAAGTGGTGGTGATTTTAAATATGTAAACTTAATTTGAGCTCAAGGCTGATGTGAAATCCATCTCAGAGTGCAGACCTCTATTCAACATCTCGTGACAAAATGCACCAAGACAGATGAAGTGCTGAAAATGAAACAATTTCCTGGTCTAATCCGACAAGGTTGGAAAAGGATCCATGTCTTTGGGGAGGGCTGGAAGATTTGTCTTTCTCTGACACCCCCTTCTCCTGGATCTGCCAAGCAGTTCCTGTAACATAATCCTCCTTTACGCCGGTACTTATCTGTTGATCCATGCACAGGTATAGGGCAAGCTCTGCATGCTACACCTGGTGGATGATATTCACTTGAGTCGCTCAAAACATTGGATAGTCCTCTTGACTCCAAGCGTTTGGCCTTTTGTGCGCCAAGTCACTAAGAGCCTCTTGAAATGATTACATGGCTGTCCATCACTTAAGCATTGTGGATCTTTTTAGCTCTGGCTTAGTTTTAGTATGCTTTTTGGTTAAAGGAAACTAATATGTTTTCTGCCTTTGCGTGTTTATCTTGTGTAATAAACCAAAGTAATTTGTGCAATAATTTACAGTCTGTAAATTCTGCAAACGCCTTGGCTTGCCTAATACATCCTTTTTAATTAACAATTAATTAGCAGTTAACGATTGTTCTCAGTGTATTCCATTCACATGCCCTAGATTGCTCAAAGGGTATGGTGTCGGTAATAAGTGTGCTGTAATTGACATTGCATAAATGTCAGATAAGTGACAAATTAATGAACTAATTGGTTTTTCTCTTGTGTCCACAGGCCCAGCTCAACCTCCTGGTTGTCCTGCATCGTCTAGCGGAGGAGTCCAGGGTGAAAGCCTTTGAGGAGAAATCCGCAACCATCAAAGTTCACCACGTCAGAGCTGTTGCGAAGGTATCCAACACCACCATAATAATTAAGCTAATTAAGATGCCTCTAAGCTGCATTAGATCAATGTAGCTATGTAGACACTAAAACTTTCAAGCAATATCCCACATGTCGAGTAGCTGAAAATATTGACATTTTATTTTTGCCCTGCAAAAATGGTTATTTATTATATATTTATATAGTAGATTTATAACATTTTATTTAATATATAATAATACAATCATTATATGAATTATTAATTTATATTAATTATTATTTCTGTATAATTTATTTTTAAAAGCACTTTTGAAGTATTTATTAGCATTTTTGCATGAGCGTTAAAATGGTCCTTAAATGCGCATACCGTATATCTTTATTTTCCCCTGAATCTAGTGAAGATGATCCTATGGACAAAATATGCTGCTTTCCTTTGTTCTTTCTTGAACCTTTGTTCTGTGAGTGTAGGTCTCTCATGTAAACATTTAGTTGTGTTTATTATTTCGTAAAGGTTAGAAAGTGACTTCTTTTTATCTCTGGTCTGTGCACCATTGAACTATCAGGCAAAACGTACTTCCAACTTCCCTTCTTTATACTTCAATTGATTTATTTTAGCCTGAGGTCCAACAATGTGTTGAGGCAGTGATGTTCTCTAACAAGCACAGTGGGTACCTGAGATTGGCTGGGTTAGGTTTCCAATGTATATTAATTTGATCAGGCTGCATTGTTAGCAGATGTCACCCGTGGCCGCCCTATTGATCTTCTCAACAGTATGTGTTACAGCAATCAATTTGTTCATTAGTGGACTGCCAAGAGCTACATTAGGTGAATGGCAGCTTATCTGCAGGTCCAGTCTGTTAGCAGTGCAGCCTGTTTTTTAGAGTGAGACTGGGTGAGTTCATATCAACACACAAATGGAAAGAAATTGGCAGCTGAGTGCTCCCTGTGCTGATTATGATAGATTCTAATATGACTTTAAACACCATACTGGAGTGCATGGAATTTTGTTTTAAACAAATCAGAATAAAACCGTACAAAACACACTCCCAGTCACCCGATCATGTCCAGGTCAAAAAAAGAAATTATATATTCCATAAAGAATGGAGGCATAATTTTAGTTTTTTTTTTCCACTGACACAAATTTAAACAGTTCACCCCAAATTCTGAAAAAAAAAAAAAAAACCAAGACATCTGAGTGAGCGAATCCTTGGGAAGGCATTTTCTTGTTCACAGACTAAATATTCAGGAATGAAAGCATGTGTCTGAAGTTTAATCATAAATGCAATCCATGCTTTGGCAGAGTTGCAGTGTTGATTGCTGTTAGATCTAGTTTAGATATAGTGTTTTACTGTAGATTAGGCCCAGCTGAATCTCCTGTAATTTTTATTTATTTATTCATCTATTGTTTTGAGGCTCAGGCCCTGCATGACCTGAAAAAGGAATTAAGGCAGCAAATGAACACACTCGTATTGCAGCCGGAATCCGGCTACATCATCTTGCAACCACCCCTTTGATGGATATTTTCTCCAGCGCTATAGATCTGAATGGGGCACCACATCAAATGAGTCACAATAACACTGAACAGAGATC